CTATCCTGCGCCTGCGCCTTACCCCATTCAGCCTAGCTCCTGATTGTGCTTTTCTGCTCGACGCATGAGTTAGCCTGTGGCGACAGCGCAGTTTTTTATTCGGGCATTGCCGTACCGATTACGCTTTACGCGAGTGATGGTTTTGAGGCAAAAGAGGTTTCGTCAAGGCTCATGTGGGCAAGGAGTTCGCCCGGCCCTTTGGCGCACTGCCTCGAACAAAGGAGGTTACAGCCGTCTCCTTGCCAAGGAGGAAGCCACTCTTGCTAAGTTTAATGACCCATAGATCTATGCCTTGCGCGCTGTTACGCCTCCTGCCGAAGCATCCCCACGTTCAGCCCAGCAGCGCGTCCGGCGTGCAGGAGTTATGCTTTGGAGAGGGTTCCAGCCTACCGCCCACAAAACTCTTCTTGGGACAACCTTAGCCCTCCGTGCGCTGAGTTTGCTGTTCGTTGCGTTGATTGTTGGAGCAATCGGTGTCCTTGAACAGCCTACCGCCCACAAAACTCTTCTTGGGACAACCTTAGCCCTCCGTGCGCTGAGTTTGCTGTTCGTTGCGTTGATTGTTGGAGCAATCGGTGTCCTTGAACAGCCCCGCCTCTCCAAAATGGCCTGGCTCCAGGAGCGCCGCTTGTTGGCCCTTGGTGCCCCAGAATTCTGGACTGCGTCCTGCAGCTTTGGGAGTCCTCGCCGCAAGGAATCCTGTTTCCTTGCCGCTGGCATCGACCTGTTGCCTGCTTGCAAACCTTGCGCTCGTGATCATACTCACATTCGGGTTGAAGGAAAGAAAGTATACGTGCGAATCCGCGACTTGCGTCGCGACTCTCATGTCGGTGCCGTGTCCAAGACCAATATGTCCAGGCTCGAGAATGCCATTCTAAATGAAATCGTCCTGTCCTCGGCCTGGGTTAAGGGAGACTCACGGTGTGCCTCCAAATGCTCAGTCTGCCTTTGCGCGCCTCTTGTCTCCGCGTTAGGTTTACAAAGCTCAGACGTTGGGCTGCCTGGGCCCGCCTGGATCTCTTCCTCTCTCTTCATGCGCGTGGACTTTCGCCGCGTTTGCGGTGCAGGAATCACCGTCGCCTCCTGATCGATTTCGATCAGACGCCTGGATTTCCTGGAGAAGGGCCGTTGTTCCTTGGGGCCTGGGTTCTTGCTTTTGGGGGTTGGACCTGGGGCCGTGTAGGGTCCGGAGCTTCGAGCCATGGCGCCCTATATACTGCTCGGGAATCGCACTGATGAGACGAGGATGCGGGCGCGTTCTGCTGTTGTCCTCTGTGACGGTAGGCCCGTCGAGACGCTACTCGCAAGAGAAGGGTGAAACAGTTGGCTGACTTTGTTTCCTAGTTAACTGGACTTGATATTGCCTTCGAGACACTTCTTTCTGATAGCTTGTCGAACGCGCGCTCTCCTCTCTTCACGAGCGCCGGTCTCTGTATGGCCGTCGACTGTTCGAAGCCGAATGGCCCTGTTCCCTCCGCTGCGAGGTTATAAATGCTATTGCCTCCAGGGAGCCCCTTCAACCAGCATGGGACCTCGCGTTTAATTGGATGCGGGAAGAACCGCGCGTGAACCACGTCGCGATGCCATGGCAGTTGCTCCTGGCAGCCATAGCAACCTCACTTGTCTGGGGATGGCCTTGTTGCTGGAATCCTTGCCCTGTGGTGAGGCCTGCGGTGAGACTTTTGCAGTGAAGAGTTCGGACTTGCTTCTTCCTTGCTCCTGGCAGCCATAGCAACTTCACTTGTTTGGGGATGGCCTTTGGTTGCTGGTGTCCTTGCCCTGTCCTGGGGAGGCCTGCTCCGCATCGGTGAGGCTCTTGCAGCGTGGGGTTCGGACATGTTTCTTCCTGGCGATGTTAAGGACGCCTGCAGCTATGCCATGCTCTCGGTTGGAGAGCCCAAGACAAGGTACAACGCGGCCCGACGCCAAGCAGCAAAGATTGATTAGCCTGATCTGCTCAGGGTTGTTATTTTGGCTTTTGGATCGAGGGGTTTTTCTCATTTTCAAAAGCTTTGGCCGCAATCGTCTTCTACCTTTCGGAGCTGATTCGATATGATCATGCGGCAGCTTGACACAGCAGTTTTGCCCTTCGACAGAGCAAGGAAGCTCGAACTTGGGTCCTTGCGCGATGGTGGTGCAACTTGGCTGTTGTCTGTCACTGAAGACGCTGAATTGGTGAGAAGGCGAGGACAATGGTTGAGCGGGATCTATATTCAAGAGATCTCTTCCTTTCGAAACATGTTCAATCAAAGATTTACTCTCTGGTTCAGGCATTCGACTCCATCGCTGCTCGTGCAGAGCAATTGGTCTTACTTCGTTCGCCTACAACGGCTTTGTTTTCTCAGCTTCCCGCGGAACAGTCAGCTTGATGCAATGGGTGGAATTGGTGGGTGGAGGAACCCCGAGTCCCACGGAACACTTTTGTGCCAGTGCACTGGGAAGCGCGCCTACGCAGTTGGAAAGGAGAGGCGCGAGTGATTCTGAGCACGTGAATAACCTTGACATCCTTTAGCCCTAGACCCTAAACCTTGAATTATAACCCTAAACTGAACGCAAATCGCAGCAGCGCTATTGATTGTTAGAGATAACGTTGAGTTCTGTACGGGAGCTTGGGCATGGCTTGAGATTTGGCCCAAGATCTCAGTACCTGTGTTTGAATAGGCCCGTGGCATAGATGGTTTCCCGAAGTGGTTTGCTGGTTGTGCTGTGGGCCGTCATCGGTCAAACGGCAGGCTGGGGTTGGTGGGTCCCCGTCTCCCCTCATGTAGGGGCCAACATGACGTTCTCCTACCATGCTGCCCCGAATGGCACTGATGGAGAGGGTGATACCGCCCGAAGTGGAGATCACCCACCTCTCGCCAACCGATCTTGGTGGAGGTTTTGGAATGTGGCGAAGGCTTCGCCCACGCCCAATTCCACATCCCAGGGCGGTACCGCCCAAGGAGGGCCAACGTTTTCGGATAACTGGTTCTTCTGAAGTTCTGTCTGCTCGCTTGGAGTGGTAGCTACTGTGTCTTTTCTACGCCGGGCTCTGGAGGAAGCCTCAGCATGAACGGAGGCTGGTTACTTTTCCTGGTTGACGCCTGTGGCGTATGGATGTTTGGTGATTGGTGGCCGACTGTGGCCACTGGCTGCTGTTTGGTGGTAATGCTACTCCTCGTCGTGATCGCGCTCCTGATTCTCCACTTGGTGAGCCGCGCTTGGTGTTGTCGTTGTCTGGGCGGTTTGGGCTGTTTGTGCCGCAGATGCTGCAGGCGACCCCAGGCAGTAGATCTGCCGGAGACCCCGGTCACTCAAGGGTTCCAGCGATTAGTGCTGACTGGCCCTGCAGGGGTGAGGGCAGCGGATACCGAGTTCTACCAGCGTGAGGTAAGGGGACGAGGTACCAACCAAAAGCCAAATGATTTGGTAGTGGTCATGGACGCTGGCGTCGCACGGCTCCAGCTTGATCCGGAACGCCGTGAACGGATTGACCGGCATGGCCTGTTGTGGGTGCACCCCAGTCGAGTATTGGGTGCTACCACTCGCAGGGTCAGGGGGCTTGTGGAAAGGGAGGACCAACTACACCTTTGCCGCGGAGCGGAGTGTCAAGGAGGCGTTGGTCTTCACTGCTGCTCCTACGCCGCTGTAGACGCGGAAGTCTTGGTCGATTTGGGAGCGTATGACCGCGTCTCCGCGTGGCGCTTGGGTGTTCTGGTGTGGAGATCACTTTACACCGCGGGTGCCGCCGTCACCGGACTGTGGACAGCGCTTCGTCGGCGTCCACTTTCCTCTCGGCCAAGCGCGACTCGGCAGATCCATGAACAAGGTGTACTGAGGGCATGGGTCTTGTCCTTCAAGGAAAGCAGCATGCCTTGGCACCCGAAGGTTGCCAGGACCGCGCTGCCCCTGAGCCGACTCGTCTTCTCGAGCCCGATCAACAGCTTGGCTGGCAAGGAGACTGCTTCATTATGTAGTCATCGTAGTCAGCTTTACATGCTTGCCTGCCAGGCAAGGAAGTGCAGCGTAGTGTCCTGCTACGCTGCTGTCAAGGGTGCCCATAATGGTGCCCCCTTCTGCAAACGCCATTTGACCGAAGCCTCCCGGAGCCGCAAAGGGATCTCGTACCCCCATTAGAAGACAGGGTGGGATGCTTCGCCAGGGCTTTCGTGCCGACCCTCCCATCGAGTACTACGCTCGCTGGGCCCCGCCCGGAGCATGATATCCGGGGCGCCGCCGTCCTGCTTTGCTCGAGAAAGCTCGCGCTCCACCGGACGCTGACGTGCCCAACCTCTGGGAGTGGGGCACTCCGTGCACCACCTACTGCGATTACCAGCGGCTTACTGGGGGGACGCGCCGAATTTGCCAGCAAGTTGTGCCTCGAGCTGCACCGCTCCGGGCGTCTCTTTGGCTTCGAAAGTAGCGCGCCCACGGGGCAGTATCCCAAAATCTGGGACGCGTATCGTATCTATGCATATGTGCGCGTGGTTCCTTCAGCCTCACACTTGCCAGCCCCATAAAAAGGCCACTTGGTGGCTTGTGTCTGCAGAACTGTTGCCATGGGTGCATCTTTTCTTGGCTCGTTGCCCGCGCGTCACCGCTCACCACTCACGTCCCGTTCCTCTTGAGCCGGGAGCCAAGGCTCCATGGTGCAGTCCCCACTTCCAGGCACTGGACACGAAAGGAGCTGTGCACTAAGGAGGCTCTCGAGGACCGAGCGCTTCACGGGACTCACCCTTATCCAACGTCGGAGGGTGGAGGATGGCCTAGCTGCTGACAAGGTCCGGATCCTCCCGAATTTCGTAGGAGGTTTGGGGCTCCGGGCTTCCTCCTCGACCTAGCCCCGGCCTGACTCAGATGGCCTCAGCAAGCACAAGGCCACGAGAGGAGGATCAGATGACTAAGAACACCCCTGACGAGGCTCAGGATGTGAAGGTAGGGCTGACACTGGGCGAGGGTTAGCCCAACCTACAGAGCTGTGGGGCTAGCTACTCCGCCGATGCTCTGTCCTCTGCTGCCCGGTTAGGAAGCGAGCTGGTTGTTGAGCTTGGCAGCATCGAAGCGGCAGTGCAAGAGCTGCAGGACGCACGTCTGCTTTCCAAAGGAAATCTCTTGGAAGCAGCAGCCCGGGGAGAGATCGCCGGGGTCAGCAAGCTGCGTGCAGAGTATCTCAAGGAGATGTCAGAGTGCGGAGTTCCCAGCCGCAGGAGCGATCTTCCGGTCCGAGTGGAAGCCCACAATCATGGTTCCGTGCATGGGTACAAGGACGAACTGATGGAAAAGGCCTGGAAGGATGCAGCTTATGGGGCCGTGCTGCTCATAGACCCGACCGTTTCCGGTCTCGAAGAGATATTGGAGCGCTCGCGAGTCGCCGAGAGCCCACTGGGACGCGTCCCTAAGCAGAATCCGGATAGGACGATATCGTCCGAAGGGCGTCCCATCAACGACATGCGCTTGCAAAACTCCAAAGGGTCCAAGTATAATCACCCACCTGCTCCACAGCCAAGGCATCAGAGCGTAGCTAGACAGTCCCTTTGGTGGCACGCCAGGCATCCTGGCATTCCCCAGCGATGTGCCAAGCGAGACGTTCTTCGAGCTTTCAAATGGCATTTCCTGAGGCCTTCTGATGTTTTGGAATTTGCCGTCCGCTTAGCCGGGTCCTCATTATCAGTTTGGCACCTTGCCCAGAGTGGAACGACATCGTTCCTTACGAGTCAAAATGGCTCATGGATGATGGGGTCGTCCTCGAACCCTTGGTTGGGAATAGAGTTCAGCACTCTCTCAACTGCCTTGACGACACGATGCGTCTCGTTTGGGGACCTGAGGGAGTGAACGTGGAAAAAATGGCCGAGGAAGGACACCCTTCGTCTTGCCAACTCCTTTGGGGACTCCACATGAACTTCGATGAGCTCCAGGTTTCTCTCCCTGAACCCAAGAGGATGAAGGCCAAGTACCTTCTCGCGGAGGCCACCCTCCAAAGAGGATGCCGAACCATCCCCTTAAAGCTGTTGAGGGAGCTTGCTGGCTCCGCACAGGCCTTACCTGCCCATCCTCTACTCCCTGATGCACGTTCCTTCGGGGTGAAGGGAAGTGGGCAAATCCCCGCCCCAATGAGGATCCTGACCGTCTGTGGGAAGAGTTTTGGGACGCTTTGGACTTTATCCGGCTCCAACTGGAGCGCCCTGTTGCAGCTAGCTTCAACGCTTCGTTTGAGAAACTTCTCCCGATTCGGGAACTGCTAGGCTTTACCAGGAGTGGCGCAGAGAACACGTATCGTTGGAGGAGATGCGACTTTGTCCAGGTTCGGCGCTGTGGACTGGAAGGCCAAGCGATTCATGGTCGCTGAGACAGCGACTTTCATCGCTGCGCTAAGGTCTTCCTTATCCGAGGCAGACCAAGTTGAAATTATCGCTATTATGGAACTCTTAACGTTCGTCGTGTTTGCCACTGAGGAAGGGAACACTTGGAGCAAGGAAGTCATCTTCTATATGACGGACAATCAGAACGTCCAGTCCTGGCTTTCGAAGCGTAGGCCCAGGTCACGGGCCGCCCGGAGGCTCATCCTTCTTCTGCACCGTCTGGAGGTCGAGTGTCACTTCCGATGTGTTCCGGTTTATATCCGCACTTACCGGAACCAACTCGCCGACTGGCTGAGTAGGGAGGAGCTCGCAAAGGTCAGGTTTGACCTCGAGGCCGAAGGTTGGGTAGAAGTTGAGTTTTTCGAGGATTGGCAGCAGCTGGTTGAGGACGCCCGCGATTGATTTGGATTCGCTTGGATGGGGAGGTAGTGTTACACGGCCCAAAGAAGTCTCATCAGCAGTGCAGGCTTTGGTTCGACATGGGCGTGAGGTTAGTCAGGCTGGCCGGTTCCTCTGGTCATCCCTATCTCAGGACCCCGGCGGACTGGAGCTGGCGCGGGCTCTTCTGGCTCTCGATGCTGCGCTCCGAGAGGATCGTTTGGTGTCAGTTGTGTTGGACGTTCCAGGCACTTGGACCCCTCCCTCATCCTTGAGGAGTTTCGTGGTCGAGGCCTAAATTGCAGCTCAACCCCCTATCGCACCTCCGACCTTGGGGTCCCAACGGCACGTCGGCGACATTGCATCAGTGGAGCTAAGCCATTTGGAAGCACTTGGCCGACTCCACAGGTGCCAACTCCTCCTTCCCTTAAGTTAGTGCCTAACCCTAGTGAAGGACTGTTCTTGAAGGGAAGAGTCACGGTCGAGCCCACGATCATGACCACCGCGGATCCCTGGTTGCCCCACCCAGCTGGTCACCTCCATGATGAAACTGGTAAACACCTGCTCCACTCGGAAACTGCGTAGACCCAGCGGACCAGGAAGCGTTGGCTCAGCTAGAGGTTTGGCTGCAGGCTTGGAAAAGGTCGCCGGGCGACCCAAAATCTCAGCTTACGCTGATTCCTCGTAAGTTGCGACCGCAAGTTCACACCAAGATCTCGCCCTGGAAGCACTTGGTGAGACTCGTGTTGGCGGTCGCCCTAAGTCGACCCCAAAACCCCTGACCTCCCTTGAGCATCGACAGCTTGTTCAGCCACTTCCAGACCGCCGCCGGTCCCCGTTTTCCGGGTTGCAGGACCTTGATCGATGGGGTCAGGAAGCAGTCCTTAGCAAGCTTGCGGACTCTACCCGCAAAGCATACGGCGCCGGCTGAGGGATTCCTGGAGGGAGCCGACGAACAATGGCTCATCAGGTTTGTCGTGTTCCTCCATGAGGTGATGGGGCGAAACGCTCAAGCATCCGCCAAAGACTCTCCGCCATCCGATACGCTCACGTCGCGGCCGGATTCCCAGACCCGTTGCAGGGTCGTGTCAGGCTTTGGGCGAGCCTTCAAGGTCTTGCCAGGTGGGAAAATGCCCCAGTCTGTGAAGTGCCTGTTACCCCGTCCATGTTAGGGTGGAGGTATTAAGGGGGGAGGGTGCCAGGAAGCCCAAGGTTTGTGGGGGGCGGTTTGCACCGGTTGGTTCTTCATGCTCAGGGCGTCGGAATACCTTCCCCCCCCAACCCTCTTCACGGCTCGCGTAGGGTCCTCAGGGGATGTGATGTCTTGTTTTACAAGGGTGGTCAATTGTCCGATTTTCGGGACGTTGATGAGGTCTCAATTCAGCTCCGTGAGGCCAAAAATGACCAATTTCAACGGGGCCAAACGCGTTCGCATCATGCTACAGGGCTTGACATTTGTCCCGTAAAGGCCCTTCAAGACCACGCCCGTCAGAATCCAATTTGGGTTTCCGACCCTTCGGCTGTCGTTTTTCAGTATCAAGGCTTGGGGGTCACCAGCGACCAGGTTTCAGATCTTCTCCGTCTTGTTGCTGTAGCTGAGGGCTACCCCTCTCACTTGGTGGGTTCACACAGCCTTAGGAAGGGAGGTGCTACGGCCATGCTTGCTTGCACTGATGATTTAGAGCAAGTAAAGAGATTCGGGGGTTGGAAGTCAGATGCTGTTCATGCTTACTTGTACGCTGATCATGCTGCTGGCAAGGGTAGAGCGTCGGACATGCTTAGGTCAAACCCAATTAATTCTGTCTTCTGCGCAGCGCGCTGGATCGCAGCCCCCGACAGAGAAGAAGAATCCGGCCGCTTACCGGCCTGGTAGTGCCTTAGGAACTCGGTGCGGAGGCGACCCTCCCGTGGGAGGCCATCCTCCAGAAACCCGAGCCATGGCGGAGGCTGCTTTCACTGCGCTTCAGATGAAGACCCTGATCAAGGAGGGAAAGGACGCGTACAAGCTGCTTGGCGTCACCAGGGAGTCAACTCCCAACGAGGTCGAGAAGGCCTACCGGCGCAAGTGCTTGGAGTGGCGCCCGGACAAGTGGGGCACAAAACCGGAGGCTGACCAGAAGAAGGCGGCGGAGGCGAACATCGGGGTGGCGAGGGACATCCTTCACAGCACTGACTCCACCGCCGCCCTCTACCTCTTCCTCGTCTTCGAGTCGGCCACCTCCGCCGACCCTCGTCTTCGTCTTCGACGGGGGCGCCGCCGCGCGGTGCGTACACTTCTTCTAGCGAATGGCAGCGAGAGCAGCAAGGGCAATGGGATGGAGCCCACGCTGCCCGCCGTCCACTTCGCATAGCAGGTCCTGGCAGGTCCAACTTTCAGCGAGCTAGCGACGCTGCAGACGCACAGTGGGCAGCAGGAGGGGCGTATACCGCTCAAGGGCCGGAAGACTGGAGCCAGTACCCACCTCCTCCAAGGGTTGCCGCCTCTGCAAGCAGAAGGTGTGATGAGTGTGTGGATGGTGAGAGCCAAACTCCAGACTGAATCCCAGGCAGCGAAGGGAGTTCGCCCGCAGTGGCAGAGGTCCAACGGCCGCCTCTTCGGCGTCGAGAAGTGGGCCGCGAAGCCAAGCCCGCCACCGTGCGGGGACTTTGTGGCGCCCGCTCCCAAGGCCCGCAACGTTTGGGGCTTGTGTGGAGGTTGTGGCAACCAAAACCACTTGCTGCAGGGAAGGTGTACGGCTTGTCAGGAAGTCAAGACGTTGGGAGCTGCGCCCGTGCGGCACTCACTGGCGCTGCCGCTTTTGCAGCGAGGAGAACCAAGCCTGCGTGAGCTGCTTCTGGCCGAGGGATGAGAAAGTGGAGTTGTTGAGGGTGACAGCGCCCGATGAGGCAGCAGCGCCCGAGGAGCAATCAGTGCCTGAGCGGGGGCAATCAGCGCCTGAGACACCACCAACGACCTCGGCGTCTACTGCCTCGACTTCGGCGACTTTTTCCGGGACTTCCGCCACGGCGCGTTCGTCCGGTCCCGCTTTCGCCTAGGGCAAACCCAGTCGTGGAGCAGGGGCTGCCATCAGCCGCACAACCTGGACTGGAGCTGGCGACGGCCCATCTGGTGTCGAAGAGCCGGTGATTCTCTCGCCTACATCACCATGCAGCTGACCCCGAGGAAGCACCCACAGAGAAGGTCCCTTCAGACGAGGCACCGGCACCGGTCGATGAGAGGTACCAGGTAGGGGTCAACCCCCGCCACGCAGAGGCACCGAAGACCCCGCCAAAGACGGGAGTTAACCCACAGCCTGCGGTCGAAGTACCGGCCCCTCCACAGCATCCAAAAGGGCCTCCCGTCTTGTATGGACCACCTCCGCCGAGAGTGGTGACTTCATCCTCGACAACCTTCACAGGAGTCCCGGAGGCACCCTCCTCAACTTCTACGGCAGCTCCAAGGGCGCCCGAAGCGCCGACCGGCGGCAGCTGTGGCACGGAAGTTCCGGAGGGCGACGGCGGCCAAGGCGGACAAGTTCCTCGTTCTCCAATAAGTGAAGTACTGAGGGAGAACCCAGGGCCAAAGACTTTTTACCCCCCCTGAGAATGACCTTGGGCCGTCACCGGCCGAAGGCCACGACATCCCAGAGCCCACTAGTGGTCCCTCCTTTCTGTCAGCCGAGGAAACTGCACGTCTCGAAAGAGAGGATGCAGAGTTCCGGGCCAGTTTGAGAACCGGCAGCATTCTAATCCCTCCCATGGGAAGCCCTCGCGTTTCACGGCTGATGCTGATCTCAAGTATCATGAGGACCTCCAACGAGGAGCCACGAAACACGAGGCTTTCCGGAGGCATAAATCCCGTATGCGTGCCTCCGCAAAACAGGCTGCAGCGGGACCGCCACCGGTCATATTTAAAGTGTCCAAAGGACCTGGGATGCAATCTCAGGGGAGTTTTCACCGCAGAGCGGTGATGAATCGCTTGCATGGGTTGGCGCGAGAGGGTTTCGAACCTACCCCGGAGGAGTACAGCCGGGCGGTTACAATGGAACACCTCGCCGACCTTGTTGCACAGAGAGCATCCGAGGCGCAGGTGTCGGCCGGCCGGGCAGCTGAAAGCAGCCGTCAGGCCGACACCGCAGCCGGTCCCGAGGACTCTAGGACCAGACCTCACCAGTCCCCCTGCTGGAAAAAGATCCCAACGCGCGCAGGGTTCCGTTAGGGAGGTTTCGGTCAGGTACTCTCTCATTTAGTATAGGCGGCACAGGCACTGCCATAAGGTGTGCTACAGCGGCATCGTGTTTAAAGTGGGTAGGTTCAGACTTTTGTTCACGGGAGGGTGTCACCACCCGGTGCCCCCTTCCTCTTTCGAGAGTTTTGGGTCTGAACCCACGGGATGCACATGTGCCAGCCTTTCGTGCAAAAGAGAGTGAATTGTTTGTTGTGCGACATGCGCTTTAAGCTGACATGTTGCATCGTTTTGTCATGACACATGCGTGAGTGCAGAACAACCTTAACCTTAAAATGCACTTGCTACCCGGCCCTATAATCCTTACCCGTTTCACCCTAACCCATGAACCGTAATTCCTCGACCGAATACCATTCGAGCATAACCATGAACCTGTCCCCCCCAAGTCTGTTTCCAGGAAATGATCAAATCATTGAATCCTTAGCCCCTTACCAAAAAAAACGATCGGCTTCGAAAACATACCAGCCCAGGCCCTCGTGCAATTATTTCTTGAGAAAAATGGTCTCCACCAAAATGCCACGAAAACTCGCGGCCCTTGCCCTAAACCCTGAAATTGGCCCAAGCTCCAATATCCCAAGCCTTCTACGGCCCTTGGATTCGAGAAATGGGTCCATTCCCATACACTTGAGAACATCTCGACCCGGGCCAGTTTTCAAAAAAAATGTTCATGCTGATATTTCCCAACATGCTAGGCCTCATTGTCCCCGACAACTCTGCAAGATCAGAACCCCGCACCCTAGTGTACCAGTTGCCGTAACAACCCAAATCCCAAACTCGAGCGCTA